CTTGCTTCATCTGTTTATTATTCCCTTGCCTTTCTTTCTATAGAGTTTTCTTTTACCTAAGTGTATCCTACAAATATATTTTAAGTTTTAGTTGTTTTTAACCTTATGGAAAGGTTATCGTGTTGATGTAATCCTTCTCACTGATTTGTTTCACTTGCTATTTATTATTACTAAGAGTCATCCATACTGTTGGGTGTTGCTGGAGCTGGTTTGTTTGCAATACTATTTAAGAGAGCACTGTGTGAATGCACCTCCAGCTGCGTCTCACTGGATGGTGTCGGGTTAGTTCCTGGGTGACTTTGCACATCTCTTGGTGCTCTCCAGATTCTCCAGTGCAAGAGTGTGCATACAGTGTTGTCACAATTTTTGATTTATTTTAAAGTAAAGGTAGAAATCCGAACTTTTATATGAAAATAACTGGAAGACCAATTTAAAGTTTTAAGAGCTACTTAGCAGGTCATTAATAAATCTGAGCAGACCATAAATTTCAAGCCTCTAATTTAGGATTTCTGGATTGCATCACTCAGGTTAAAAGTTTCTCATTTAGATTTAGTGGTCAATGTAACTTACAGGACACTTAGAAAAATCATCCTTCAGTAAGAAAGTGTGCAAAACAAGAAACTACTGAGGCAGAAATTTGATTAGGGCTTGGGGTTGGGATAAAAAGTGAGGTGAGTTAATTCCTTTAGCGTGGTTTGTTGTAGTGCATGGAAATCATTAGTAAAACTTTGTCACACCAGAAATGAGGGTAAAGAGATTATCTTTAGGGAGGTAAACTTTAAAAAATGAATTATTTAAACTTTCAAATATTTAATGAAGGCAGTAGAGAAAGCAAAATTGCCTTAAAGAGAATAAATGGCTCCCAGACCAACAGGATTTGTGATTGTAATTTGATGGAATGAATTAATATGTTTAAAGAAGGCATGTTACTCAGGGTGGAAGATGGTCTGATATGACTCCAGGGCCCATTTTATCTTTTATTTTTTTAAGATTTTATTTATTTTTCAGAGAGAGAGGAAGGGAGGGAGAAAGAGGGAGAGAAACATTGTTTGGCTGTTGCATGACCCCAACCTGGGGCCCGGCCCGCAACCCAGGCATGTGCTCTGACCAAAAATTGAACCTGTGACATTTTGATTCACAGGCCGCTGCTCAACTCACTGAGCCACACCTCCCAGGGCTCCAGAACCCATTGTAAGCATTATATTCGCCTATGGCTCCATGGTGGACAGTCATGACTATGGCAATGTTGCCCTTAGGGAGAAAACAAACTCTTAATACATACCCATATATTTATCTGGTTGGCGAATAGTTATACACGTACGTCTCACTCTCTCATTACACTCCACCTTTGAGACCTGGTTCACTTGAGTCTTCCCTGCTGGCAGCCACAGGAGGAGAAGGCTGAGAGCCACTCTCGGGACTTGTTGAGTCCCGTTTGATGACATCATCCTATAAAGATTCTTGGAATTAGCCGCTGTCCTGCTTTTATTGTCGCCCTCACCTGCACCTGCATTTCCATGAGCGTCTGTCTTCATACCTCCACATTCACTAACAGTTTACTCACCGCGATGCCGTTAGTTAAGTACAGAGTCTACTTAGTTCAGCCTTGGTTCAGCCTTAGGAATCTCCTGAGGCAGAGTCTTTTCTATACTCTGGAAATGTCCTGGATCTCTGTGGAGATGATTATGTGTATGCGTCTCTGTGTATTTTTCTGGGGAGAGAGTCCTTCTTGAAACCATTGTTTCAGGGAGCACAGTTTGTGTTCTTCATTATAGGGCCTCTGCAGGGGAGATGGCCTGTACACTTGGAAGCCAAAGTTTAAGTCCTTAGGGAGGCAAAAGATCTAGATGCCCAGGGACAGGGGGAGGAGGAGAATCTGTGGGTTGAAAGGAGATAAAGAAAGGGACAATGTGCTATTTCATAATGCATGTAGACTGCCATGAGTGTAATATCCTTTTGACATTTTTCCAATATTATATTTTTGGCTGATTGATTCCTTTTCTGTGGGAGGTAAGGGTGGGTGGAGTGTGGAGTAGCTGGGATACTTCCCTCGAGCATTTTCGGGGACGTGGAAGACACTTCATAATGTAGGATGTAAATTGCTACAGGGTGATAAAAAACAGCACCATGCTCATTTTTGCAGTTTTAAACCCAGTGTCTATTAATGGTCCCTGCAATGCTGTTCACTTTCAGTTAGTACAATTCAATTTACTTCAACAAAGAGTAATTGAAAATTCCCTATCCACAGTATTTCAGCTTTTCTACTGAAAATTTGGCAGTGGATTATGGGCCATGAGCTACTAACTGGGGTTGTGGCGCCCACAGAACTGAGAGCAGGCAAGTTTTTGGAGTAATACTCTGGTATTAGCTAGGGGAATATGCACCTGGGACTCTACTGATCTACTTCTCTTGTTCCAGTGTTATTAATAGCACCTCACTTAGATGACAATTTTTATAGTCACCCCTCTATATAATGCTTTTATTTCTCTAACCTTTTCTAGTCTTATCTATTTATGTGTCTCTCTTCCCATTAAACCAATGAGCTTCTTGAGACTAGAGACATGGTCTCATTCATCTCTGTGTCTAAAACATGCCGGCTATTTGAGGGACACTTAAGAATATTTGTTGAACTGAAATTCTAGGTAGAGTGAATAAGAGCCTTAGAATAAAAATGGCCACCTCACGTTATCTTTCATGTGCTGCAAAGGCCTACACTGGAAGCTCAGTTTTGAGATAAAGATGAGCTCTATGCCTTGGGAAAATTATTTAATCTTTTCTTTTTTTTAACTAAATGTGAAAAGTGCTTGGTGAAGTGATTTTAAGTGCTCGATTAATGTTAGCTGCTATCACGGTCACCAAATAGTTACTACTACTAATTATTATATATAATAACTTTAAACTTTAGTTTTTCTTAGCTGGAAAATGAGGGAAATAATTCCTGCTTGCTTAAATTTGTTAATGAACTTGAAGACACTTTGGAAACTACAGAGGGCTCTCATTGCATAGCCCTCTATTAAAAGAATAAAAGGTAACGGGGAGGTTTTTTCTATAGAACTGGCGTGACTCAGCCATATTAGATGGAGCTCAATGGCAACATAGGGAAGCTTTTAAATACAGTATTTTAAAAAGAAAATAACATGGCTTAGCTGGGTGGTAGAAGTTTATCTATTATAAAGTGTCATAACATAAAAAAAGCATATAAAAAAATGGTAGATGAACTCAGGACAGGTATGGAATTTAGGATGAGGACCACGCACAATGTGATCTCAAAGCATTGCTTCAGGTACGATGAGGGAACAGAGCCATTCCAGTCTCGACATCTGGAGAGCATCACTTGACCTTGGGATGGAAGAGTTTTTATGTTAGGATAGACATTTTATTTTGCAAACTCAGTCAAGAGCTTGTATTTTCTGACTTACTGTGAACATTTTATTAAAGGCATACCAAATGTGGGCAATACCCACAAAAGCTATTCAGGACCTGCATGTGCTGCTAAGGAGAGGGAAGAGCCTAAGAATTACACATAAAAGCAGCTTTTAGCCAAGGATCACAGAACCTTTTCTAGTAATGTAATCTTCATCAAGGGAGATAGAGAAGCTGGTGAATTTCAAGTTGTATATTCCGGCTCCCTGTTATCCTAGCAGGCCATTCTAACAAGAGTAGAACTATTGATTCTAGAATTCTTAGATCTAAATGCCAATAAACAATGGGGTAGAACTTCAGGTCTATTTTTGGGGAGATGGTAAAATAGTAGTAGCAGTAGCAATTGGCAGCAGAGTAAATGTTTACATAGCATTTATACATATTAAACTAATTTAAGCTTCATAGCAACCCTGTGAGGTGGGTACTTCACCATCTCCCTTTTATGGTTGACAACCTGAGGATAAGAGGTTAAATAACTTCCTCAATGTCTCACCTGGTGAGTGGAAGAGCCAGGCTTTGAACCCAAAGTGTCTTGGTCCAGAGAATGAGCTTTTCACCAGGACTCTCTGCTTCTTAATTTGAGCCATTCTAACCAAATATAAAGTGTAGCTATGGCTTTGTGGGACAGAGTTGTGAAATCAAGGCCATAAACTTCAGGGGTGGCTTTCTATTTTGTCCCAGGCTTGACTTGGAAGGAAGAAGTTTGTCCAAATGATAATTTTTTTAGCAGTAAGACTCTTATCTTGCTCATATGTGTATCCTCCAGGGCCTCATATCCCCTGGAGAAGGACATAGCTAATGGCACATAGCAGGTACTCAATAGGCATCAGTCGAAATAAACCAAATAATCTCTATGATTTTTCTCTCTTGCTGTAAAATTCTTTTTGTTATTGAACAAAGGAGGAGGGTGTGAATGCATAGCTCTACACCAAACTCCCAAAGCCAAGCTGGCATTTTGTTGTTCATCCTCTTGCAGTTAAACACTTTTACCAAATCCTAACTCCATACTCAAGGCCTGGTTCAAGTCCCTCTCACCTAAGATGCTGTTGGTCCCAGTGAAGAGAATCACTGGTTGCTGGGGTCACTTAGTACTCCTGGCACATGCCTCAAGGGCATGTCTATGAAGGCTGTTGATCATGCTCAAGACTTGGGGGCTGAAAGACCTGAGTTTGAATACTGGCATCCAAACTTAGCTGTGTGGCCTTGAAGAAGCCATTCCAGTCAGCCTTCGTGAGCTCAGTGTCATTATTTATGAAATGAGGGTGAATCCTACTCAGGGGATGATTGTAAGACTCAAATAAGACAAATAACGCCTAGCATAGTGTTTGTCATAAGGAAGCTGAGTGCTCAAATTATAAAAATTAAATTTCCCAGTTAGATTGTAACTTCTTGGAGGCCTGGGATCATGTCTTACACTTTGTCAGGGGGTTTTTTTTTTTCACTCTCAATACAGCCTGCCCTCCCCTCATCCTGCTCCACTTCTACCCTTGCTCTCTTTCACCACCAAAATCCCAATTTGTTTATTTTTTGCTTATTGTGCTTAACCAACATTTGGGGTCATTTTGGTTCTTCCCCAGGAGATATTTGGCTACCAAACTCAGAGCTGCAGAAAAACCCTCTGCCTTGCTGGATCCATCTTCTCGTTTGGGATCCTCCCCTTGGTGTTTTACTGGAGACCTGCTTGGCATGTGTGGGCAAATTGCATCCCGTGTTCCTTGCAAGAAGCAGATGTCGTGTTGCTGAGGACAACAGTAAGTGTGTACTTGGTTTTGTACCTGGTGGCCCTTTCTCTTGAACCTTGTGTGATGGGATGGTTGTAGAGAGATGTGCACAAAGCAGTTGATAAAAGGAGGCTGCAGCTTCAGCTTCCATCACAGCCTTGCCTTTATTTATTTACCTCAATTAGAACTCAATATTGTGTGTATTATGGGATATCACACAGTATTTCTTTTAAGCTTGTGAGTTGTATGAATATTAGAGCAGAGAATAACCATATTAATAACTAAAAATAATAGGTAGTGGGAAGTGATTAAGTCAGTCTACAAGCTACAGAATTCACATTGCTTCTTCCCTCTGTATGCTGACATATTTGTGTCTATCCCAAAACCCACTCCATTGGAACAACTCTGGAGGAAGGGAGGTTAGAGGTAGGGAGGAGATGGAGAGCACTCCTCTGAGGAGGATGTCACCTTCCCCTGCTCATTTGAGAGAGCCACAGTTATTGATAGGAGTGTGCTACATCCTGCAGATATGCTAGTGTAATCAATGCAACCATCTTGAGGTCATTGCTTTTCTCTGCTAACACAAGGTCCTGGCATTAAGTGAATTTGCTTCCATAATGCTTCCTCCTAGCACTCATTATACTTAGGCATTATGAAGTTTCTACTGGATTGTCAGCCCCACAAGGGAAGGGATCTTTTCTAACTCCACTGCTGTATCTCTAGTTCCTGCGCATGGTAGGGATTTCATAAACAAGTGGTGGCTATAGGCTGAAGTGGACCTTTCTATTGATGGGCATCAAAGGGCAGTCCCAGGGAGAATGGTTTTTTGCCTGAATATTTCTAATAATGCATTGCCCAAATAACTCAGAATGACAACCAGATTCTTGATAAGTCGACTTCTGCTGAGCTGTTAGCTTCTTTTTGTATATAGCAATCTCTCTAGTAAACTATTTAATGCAGCAAGAGGAGAAGATAGCAACAGATCTTATAACTGGCCAAAAAAATTCCACAGTTTAATCTAACAGAGTTGGGGTTAGACCTCAATGACATTGGCATTTGGATAAAGTTTGTCTTTGTTGACTTACTCCACTTGTGCCAGCCCAACCCCTTGTTTCTGGCCTGGTTGCTTAGCTTACATGTGAACCATAGTATAAGTGATAGCTGAGGACACCTCCATCCTAGTTCACCTATATTCTAACTCAAGAGTTTTGGAAAATGAACTTCTAGACTTTAGGAAGGCAAGATTATTGTGAGGTAAGAGTTGATGGTGTTGGGCTGGGAGCCCTTATTCCACCACTGGCTCAAGCCATAATTTTCATGAAGGATCACAGAATATGCCTTAGAGAAGAGTGCCTGGCACTTACCAAGGAAGACTTCATCATTTGACCAGGGAGGAAATGGGGCCTGGCGAGGGGATATGATTTATTGCATTCCTAGGTGAGTGAGAAGTCTAACTAGGACTAAGTCCCATGTATCCTAACTCCCAGTACAGGGCTGTTCCCGTGCAACTCTACTTAGACCAGTGGTTCCCAAACTTCAACCAGCATCAGAGTCATCTGGAGGACTTATTAACTGCCCTGACCTCTCCCAGAATTTCTAGGTCATTAGATTTGGTTTGGAGCCCACGAATTTGCATTTTTAATGAGTTTCAGTTGATGCTGATGCTTCTGATGAGGCCATACTCTGAGAAACACTGCTGTGGACAGTCTCATTCCCACTTATGAGCTCAACTGATCTTTGGGAGAAGAATAGAAGCCTGGACATGGCTTCTTGGAACAGAGATAGAAGTGTCTTCCTGGAACAGAAATAGAAGTTTGCTTTCTGTAGCTCCAAGATGAGACATAAGGAATTTGAAAGACCAAATATTTGGCATTCTTTCATAGATCAACCACCCCCTTGTGAAATTAAGAACCTATGAGGTCCTTATTTTCTGGCATAAAAGGAGGATTTGGAAAAGTACTTATATCTAACCCACAGGTACTTCCATTTCCCAGAACTAGTCCTCAGTGGACAATGCTTTTGCCGTAGTAGGAACAACTTCAGACACAGAAAAGTGTTCTGCCTTTCAGAGCACACCACCAAGACTCTTCAGATCTGAGAATGTCTGTTTGGCTGAGCTCTACATGCTCTCTGAGGCTGCTGGCAGAGTCAAAGCATAGATAGGAATAAGAGGAAATGAGCAGGAAATGGCAAGGGAAGGGAGGAGGATGAAAGAAATGCTGAGGAAATTGATAGAAGGACAATGAAGAGGTTGAAAAGAGACAGTTCTAGTCAAAGTGAGAGAAATAAGGACTTGTCAACTAACAGGAAATGATACACTTTGGCATTTGGAGTCAAAAGTTTTGAAGTCTAGCCTCAGCGCTGTAGGTGTGTTACACCTTAGATTTGTTACTTAACCCTTCAGAAACTCAATTTCTTTACTTGTGAAATGGGACTAGTAAAAGTACTAGTTATTTTTGGGGGGTAGTGTGAAGATGAAGTGAGATTATGTATGTAAAAGCCATTTGCAAACTATAAAATTCATTATTGAAGACCATTTTGAGTGTGTGTGTATTATTGCTCAAGCAACTGTATGAGCTTGCTATGCTAGAGAGCTTGCTGTAGACTAGGTACACCCATATATAATGGCCCTGCTCATTGGATGCTGTGCCTTTCCCTATTTAGCCAGGAAGGCTGGCATTCCCTCCTAGGATAGGAGACATGGGGAAGGTTTCTGGTGGCTGGGGATCCCCAGCACACACTGATACCCAATCAAGTCAACTTTTCTAGTTGTTTGTTGTCAGCTTTGCAACTGGACATGTAGTGGAAAGATTAAAAAAGTCATTGGTGCCTCAGGGAGCTGCATGTCCTTATCCTGGCTCTTTCTTTGCATCTTTGACAATCTATTAATCTCCACCCTCTACCATTTCACTGCTCTTCTCAACTAATCTGAACTGTTGAAACCAGCTTCAATCTTATCTTTTTCATCTTGATTTCTGCTTTAATTTTTAATTACCTGCTCTTGTGAGTCATTTTAAATGGATTTGATATGCCAGAGACTCTCTAAATAAATGAGATTCTAAATTAGTCATTATGTAATTAGACAAGAATTCAGTTATTTCTGAGCTTTAGATAAAAAAAGCTTTGGGCACCAATAGTTTAAAAGTCTGCTGCTTGGTCATTTGCATTAAAATGACACCTTAAAGAGATTGAATTTGAATTATATTACAATAGCTGGACTGTAAAGACTTTCCATTAAGGAGGACTAGATGACTTAAAAATATGTTGTATATCTGTTTTTTATGTTATTAAAAAGTCAGTACTTGGTATTTATCATCAATCTCACACTGGTAAGATTACAGATCATTATCACTGACACTGATTAGGTAGTAATTTTTTAACATTAAAAAAAAAAAGGCCATGATGCACTGACTGAAAGTCTTTAGGACTCAGTTTATTTCAGTTCCCCATGCCATATTAAGTGCCTTTATGAGCAAGATCTTTCCCAAAGATAAGAGCAATTACACTTTTATTTTATAATTTTAAAAGTACCATGTCATTCACTGTTCATATAATGTTAAATTTTAACTGACATCTGTAGTGATGTCACATTTTAGTTCAAATAACATGATTTACATTCACTGGCATTTTGACTTCAGATGCTTGTGATGATTTCCATAGTTTTCATCTTTGCTATAATTATAAACACATTTTTTCCCTTTATTGTCATTGTATGTCACATGTCCTCAAAGACCCATATTGTGCAGAGGAGGACTTAATGATGACTGGTTAATAGGCATGACTGAGGGAATTTCATTTCAATGTTTTAATAATTGGAGCATTTCCCTTTCCATTTCATCTAAACATGTCAGTGCTAGGGGCCTTTGTTTGCAAACTCAAAAAATCTGCAAATCAGCCATGCAAATGTGATCTAAAGTCCACGAGCCCACCAGGCTATTCACCAGCCAAAAACATTTGTGTTCATGTTTCCTGGATCCTTTACCTTCTCTCCTCCCTCCTCTTCTGCAACCTGGTCTCTCCAAGCCCAGGCTTCCCACATCAACACTACTATCTGTTTTGTCTATGCTTTCACTCATAACATTTTATATGATATTCTCTGTCCCCTCCATTCATGTATTCATTATTATTGATTTATTATTATTTATTCATTCAATAAATATTTGTTGAGCTCCAATGATGTTCCAGATATTGTTATAAGCATTGAGAATACTAGCTATCAGGCTTCTGGTCAAGATGGCAGTTTGGGAAACATGGCTCATTTCTTCACACAACCACATCAAAATTACAACTAAAATATGAAACAACCATCATTCAGAACCACCAGAAATAGGGTTGAGTGGGAGTCTGACAACTATGGAATAATAGAAAGCACATCCATTGAGACTGGTAGGAGGGGCAGAGACATGGAACAGGCTGGTCCCACATCCATGTGTGGTAGATAAAAATTCAGGAGGGATAACTCAGCAGCGAGAAGTACCAGCCCCACACCAGGTCCCCCAGCCCAGGGTTCCAGTGCCAGGAAGGTAAGTCCCCATAACTTCTGGTTGCAAAAACCAGAGGGGATTGAGTCAGTGGAAGAAAATTCTGGAGTCCCAAGCAGTTCCCCTTAAAGAACCCACATATAGACTTACTCAGACTCACTCCCTCTGAGCTCCAACACCTTGGTAGCAGTTTGAAAGCAGTGGCATACAGGGAGGAGCTGAAGTGTCTGGCATTAAAGCGGGAGCTGGGGGGCAGCTTTCTTCCAGACAGAAAGTCAAGCATAGGCCATTGTCCCTTTTCTGAGTACCCAACAGAGCCATAGTGCCAGCAGGTGGGTCCCATATCTGAGTCAACCTGGCTAATACTATTTGCCCTGCCATGGAGATCCCCAGAGACTGTACCACCAAAATTAAAGGCCCACCCATATATATTTTCCATATGAATGGCTAGCCTTGGCTCATGCTTCACAACTTCCTAAATCCTATCAAACAAGCAACAGACAGCCTTAGTAAGCCCTGCAGCCCCCATACCTCTTGCTAAGTGGTAAC